TATAAGCCAACCATTTGGTCAAGCGCTAGAAGTTGATGTTATATAAGCCGTGTGTAGGCAAGTTGGCAAACTTTCGTCAAGTTGTTCGTCCAGTTGGTTGAATAAAATGTTTATGTTTTTTGAGGCAGAACGGTCCACTTGTTGCTCTGTGTGTAGACGAGTTGGCAACCTAAAATGCAATTTAATTTTTTTAAAGGCGCATTAACGTTACCATATGTTTTTCGGTTCATTTCGCTAGTGAAAATGCGTATAATTTGTAAAAACGGGGGCGGTAGCAATAACAAATCCATAAAAATGAGAAGCATTCCTAGCATGGCTTAAAAGTTTACAGGTGGTGTTGTGTTGCTCACAGTTAAAAACTCTTACTCAAATGAAATCGGCCAAATGGTTGGTGCGTTGGTAGGGAAGTATTTCGTTAAGTATGTTGGCCAACTGGTTGACAGGTAAATCAATGCGTGTGTAGGGCCTTTTACACTGTCCTTTAACTAAAGAAGAGTCAATTCAACATGACAACACGTTTTAAAGCTTTTTAACTAATTATTTTTAATTGTATGTCTTAAAGTCGCTGAAAATAATTTTGGTTAATTTTGGTTTTCGTCATTTTCTTTACTTTGTTTACTTTTCTTCCGTTTTCCAGTGCAACAAGATGGCGGAGAACCCCCTAAAAAATCGACTTTTTTCACTCTCCTATTCTTGAGTGATCTTGTGTCGTCCGTTCATGAGTTGTGCGTGTACCTGATTTTTCATGAAAAGGAGCCCATATCAACACGAAAGCTCACAGGGGCATATTCGTAGTCAAAATAAGTTTGACCGCTACAAGGCTACAACTGACAAACTTGATGGACATTGTGTATCACACTTAAGTGTGTTAGTAAAAACTGTGGGTGTATTGCAACTTGAAAGCAAGTTCTTGATCGTGTAACGTCCAAGTAAAACACAAAGGTACTAGTGCAGGTAGCAGCATTAGAGCAGAAACATCAAGCAGCGTGTATTTTGTGCTCTTAAATGTCAAAAGAGGTAAACAAAATCTGACATGTAAACAAAAGTGACAAATCATGGACCACTTCGAATGATAAAAATCAAAACTGTTACCCCCTGCTGCTACCTATTCAATGTGCCTGTCTACTAGTGAGTTCAATTACGAATCAACAATCAGTAAACTTCACGATGCAGCGAAACAAGAGTGGCGCCGCTAATCCTCTCTTTCCCGATTTGATAGCATGTACCCTTTCGCTGACGCCACATTACGTTTTTTCGCACTAGTGATGAATAATAAATTTTCATATTGTACCTAAAAGTAGATACACGTACCTAAAAAGTAAACATGTATTTCTATGTGCATATATTTTTGATAGTTGGTGGACTACATCTTCCTCCCGTACCTTAACAACTTTTGGACTTACATGAAACAATATTCTACTACGTTCCAAATCTACCTAAAGTTATGTGCTTGTACCGAATGTACGTTCAAATTTAAGAAGCTGAAGAGTTGGTACATTTCAGCATAGTTTTACATCACTATTTCGCACCACTTGTTCGCTTCTTCTGATAATAATGTGACGTCACACCCAGTTGCTCTCAGCTCGATTGGCGCCATCTTGTATTCTATCATTCTTGAGTAAACTTGAAGTTAATCAGTGTTGTAAACTGCTTATAGTACAATAAAATTCATTTAACGCCGTAGAAAGACATTTAGTCTGTTCCAATAGCAGTCCGGTTTACAGGATTTAGTCAGAACTTACAGGAAGTCGTTCCTATTGACACAAAACCTGTAAGTGGGAACACATTTGAGAGAGTAACTGAGCAACTGTTCCTAGTCAGAAGTTACAGGATTTAGTCCGGAGATTTTTTTCCTGTAAGTTCATGAAAAGTGTCAAACGATCAGCTGATTTACATGTGCAAACAAAAACAGAAAGCAGTGAAAGCAAAGAAGCTTATATTTGTTAAAAAATGGAAGTAAACAACGAAATATTTGAATATGTATAAATTTTAATAATTATTTAGTGATATTTCAGCCAAATCGGTGTAGTACCAATGACATGTAAACAAACCGTCTGACGTTTTTACAGGAAATAGTGCTTTTTGCGTTCCTATGCACTTCTGCATCTGTTCTCCTTTTACTCTCATTTGAGAGCGTAAAATTGTAGTTTGACAGTTCCACAGGTTTTAGTCCGAAGTTCAAAGGAACAGACTAATTATGATAGTGAGCACAGGATTTACCGGATTGAATTGGAGAACCNGCTAATCCTCTCTTTCCCGATTTGATAGCATGTACCCTTTCGCTGACGCCACATTACGTTTTTTCGCACTAGTGATGAATAATAAATTTTCATATTGTATCTAAAAGTAGATACACGTACCTAAAAAGTATACATGTATTTCTATGTGCATATATTTTTGATAGTTGGTGGACTACATCTTCCTCCCGTACCTTAACAACTTTTGGACTTACATGAAACAATATTCTACTACGTTCCAAATCTACCTAAAGTTATGTGCTTGTTGCTCTCAGCTCGATTGGCGCCATCTTGTATTCTATCATTCTTGAGTAAACTTGAAGTTAACCAGTGTTGTAAACTGCTTGTACTACAATAAAATTCATTTAACGCCGTAGAAAGACATTATGATAGTGAGCACAGGATTTACCGGATTGAATTGGAGAACCGCTACCAAGGCGAATTAATATAAGGTGATAGCAGGAGTACAAAAACAAAAATTTACATGTATTTTGTTTTTGCTTTGGCGGCATAAACTGTCAAAATCTGTAAGAGTGTGTGTAGAAATTCAAACAAAATTTTTCAATTTGATATCAGAAGCCGTGCGGCGAAACACATACACAAAATCAGCTGAGCTAGTAACACCACCTTGACCGCTACCAAAAAGCCAACAAGACTTTACTGGAATTAAGGTTGCTAGGTTCTGAAACGGAGTAAGCAGTATCTACATTTCTATTTTCGATAGAAAAAAAGCAGTACAAACATAAAGAGGCCAAGTTTTTTTTTTTTAATTTTTTGTGCAATTTATTGTTACAAATTAACAAAAACTAAATCTAAATGTAATCACATATTTGAGATCGTTTTCATTAATTAGGTACAAACAAACAAAGATATCTTTTTCAAGGCACCAATTAATGTAAAACATAAATATCTAAATTACACAGTGGAGTTCAAGCCTCTTCCTGAATGTGTGGTAATTTTTTTTTTAATTAAGCCTATAATTAATTTAATATTTTTCTGATTTTTTATAATAGATGTGATATCTTTGCCAGTTTCTGTTTTCATCTAATAGATAAANGGTTTCATTAATTAGGTACAAACAAACAAAGATATCTTAGATATCTTTTTCAAGGCAACAATTAATGTAAAACATAAATATCTAAATTACACAGTGGAGTTCAAGACTCTTCCTGAATGTGTGGTAATTTTTTTTTTTAATTAAGCCTATAATTAATTTAATATTTTTCTGATTTTTTATAATAGATGTGATATCTTTGCCAGTTTCTGTTTTCATCTAATAGATAAAAATCTCGTGTCAGGGTGTTTGTGGTCGAACTTCTCCTAAACGGCTCGACCGATCATTATACAATTTTTCGTGTACATCCCATACAAACTGAATTTTTCATATTGTATATCTCTGAAAGTGTTCATGGTAGAGAACTCGAACATTGTATGGAGATATATATATGAAAACAGTCGCATACTCATGGAGAAAAATTGTGGTTATTGGAAAAGGGGGCGCGGCTCCCATACAAACCGAATTTTTTAATTTTTCATATCTCTGGAAGTGTTCATGGTAGAGTATGGTATGGAGATATATGAAAATAATCTCATACTGATGGAGAAAATTGCGTGGGCGTTGCACCACCCATACAAGCCAAATTTTTCATAGTGCATATCTCTGGAAGTGCTCATGGTAGAGTACTGGAACTTGGTTTGGAGATAAATGAAATAAATCACATTGTCGTGAAGAAAAATTGGGGCTATTAAAAAAGGGGCGTGGCACCTCCCATACAAACCGAATGTTTCATACTGCATATCCCGGAAAAAGTTCATGGTAGAGTACTCGAACATGGTACGGAGATATATGAAATCAATCGCATATTCGTGTAGAAAAATTGTGCAGCTATTGGAAAAAGGGGCGTGGCACCTCTGCATATCTCTGGAAGTGTTCATGTTAGAGTACTCGAACATGGTATGGAGATATATGAAATCAATCCCATACTCTTAGAGAAAATTGGGGCTATTTGAAAAGGGCGCGTGGTGCCTTTCAAACGCACTGAAACTATTACGTATGTATCTTTGTATGCACACACACTTTTGCTAGGTTATTTAAGACGGCAATGGAAATATGCCTTCTGACAACCGCCAAACCGTAATATTAGAAGATAGAGGGTCTGCTAGTTTAATTATAAAACTCTGCAAAAATTAAATTGAACTTGGTATATATAAATAATTCACTCTCGACATTTTCTTTCTTTCCGCCTAAAGTTAAATTTGAATGAGGAATGGAAAAAGTATATGATAAAAAATTAGTAGCTGGAAAAAGGAGTACAAGGGAGTACAAGTAATAAAAAGGAGTATGTTTACTAACAAAAGCGGTACGTCTGGCAACCCTAACTGGAATTCGCCTCCGAGGTTGAGAGATTTGGGTATTGTAGATGCATCTGGTGAGCACCTAGAAAGGGTAAACATCCAAAGACATAACACCCGAATGAGGGACATGTATACCAAGCGAGTGACCTATGCGAATTCAAAGCCCACATTTACTGAAAATGTCTCGTATACCCAGACACAGAAAACGGCAACTCACTGGACGTTAAATATGAGATACTGAAACACTCAAGTCGATCGCAGGGAAAAGCAATTCAAATAGGGCCATGGCATTACACATATGTACATATGTATGTATATATGATTTTTTTTTGAAAATTAGATACGTTTCTTCCCAAAAATAGTGCGAGATTTCTTCCCCCCCCCCCCATTATAAAATTAGATACGTCCTCATTGCACACGATTACGCTCAACTTGCCCCATCACATAAACCTTTCTGCTCACTTCCAGCATTCCAGCATCCCTTGCTTCACCGTTCTTGTGTGGCATTGCGTAACGCAGCTTCGACCAAAACCATGGATGATCCTCCCACACTAAATACGTGTTCATATCCAAATATGCCTTCAGCTCTCTATCCAATAGCTCAGTATTTGTAATTTCGCCATATTTAATAATAATTATGCGCAAACGTCCTTCATTCAGCGAACATTGATGTGCGGTGCGAAATTCCATGCGTCCCCAATCCGATTCGATGAAGTGCTGAGACAGCACAATGATCGTGCGCCGCGATTGTGCCACCGACTCCACAATTTGTTCGGTTATGTAGGCGCCACCAACCCAATTGCGTTCGTGTGTGCAAATGCGATATGTTGGATTGCCTTTTTCGAGTTTAGGCAGCAGTGTTTGATTGACAAAATATTCCTCCTGATGTGCGTACGAGATGAAGGCATCAAAAGTTTTCTCCTTGTCCAGTTCACGTTCATTGATAAAATAGATGCACATTTTTTGGCTGTACAGCCAAACTTTCACTTGTAATTGATATTTGTAGTAAAGCGTAATGCTGGTGAGTATTACAAAACAGGCAACAGCGAAAACACTCTCTAAAATTATGTACGGATTGTTGCTCGCGCAAATGCCGGCGACGTCGATATCTAAGAGCCTCTGTTTTCCTCGATCATCGCAAAACAATTGTGCGACATCAGGAATACGTTGGTGAAACGCTTGCACAGCGCGCAGCATACGCTCACCGCTACAGTCGCACTTCCATGGGTTCTCAGCGAGATATAATTGCTTCAGTGTGGAGTTTTTATTAAGGTATACAAACAGAAAATCATCTCTCAAGCTTATTAAGCGATTGTTGCGCACATCTAACACAGTCAAATTGGGCGGAAGTTGGGAGGAAAGAATTTCAGCGATTTGATTATAGGAGGCGTTCAGATACGTCACATTCGCATAACCGAGAGTAGTGTTCGATGGAAGCTCATAAAAACGATTGTGGCTAATAGAAAGCATTGAATTTCCAATTCCCGAAAACTGCTCTGGGCGAGGTAACTGAGAAATCGCCTCAAGCGCTGCACCAGTACAATTGATTAGAAGAATTGTGGTTTCGATGGAACAAATACATTTGTTGGGACACAAAGCTGGTTGCCAGTCACAGAATGCCACTTTCCTACTACACTCTGGCAATGTAACATTGGAGCGATAGTTGTTGTTGTAAACCCAAGCTAATTGACAATCGCAGACAAGAGGATTTCCTCCCAATAAAATTTCTTCGTTGCAGGCTGCTGCATTACTCAGTAGGCGCGGCGTCAGCGCGTAAACGTGTTGAATTAAATTGAAACGCAAATCAATTGTGAATGGGCAAGACAAGCCTGCATCAGTAATCCAGTCCATATCAAAGTGGGATATATTGTTTAACGATAGATTAATTGAGGTGTATTTGCGTTTTTCCAAGCTTCTCTTTATTGAAAATAATTCGAAAATATACTTAAAATTTTCAACCGGAAGCTGTGAAACGCCGGCATCACTGTGGGAAAAGCTCGATAGTATAGTTTCATTTGAGTAGTCGCCAGTGCCCTTGATGGTTCGCAAGTGATTAAAACTCAAGTCTAGCTCGTACAAATATCGCAATGATCTAATATTAACTATAATATTCGAGGAAATTCTCAAGCGATTCCTCTGTAGAAACAGTTTCGAAAGCATGGATGTATGGTTAAAAAGCCCCGCCGGCAAGCACTCCAAAAAATTGTGGCTAAGATCTAGAACTGTCAGTTTGTGTTGTGCCGCTAATAAATCGGCCGGCAGTAATGCCAATTCGTTCGAACGCAAATTTAAATAAGTCAATTTCGAAAGTGTTGAGAAAACATCGTTGAACAACTTTCTCAATTTATTCTTAGTTAAATCAAGATGCTTCAGTGAAAGTAAATTTCTAAAATGAATGCGCGTAATATTATTACAATATTCGTCGGGTGGATCAAATATGCTGAGCTTAAGCGATTCCAAATTCGGCAGCGTCTGAAATAATTCCGTAGGCATAGTAAAGTCTTCGGTAGGCTCTTGATAAAATAAGATTAAAACTTTCAGTTGTGTTAGATTGAGGAAAAGTTGCGCAGGTAAGCTATCAACAGGGTAGTCAAGGGTTAACTCTAACTTTTGCAGACCATTTGATTTTCGAAAAAAATTCGCTGGTATGCTCGGCTCATCGAATGCAATAGAGCCTTTGTTGATAATGTTCTTATCGCTTAGGAAATCCGGTACCTCCAAGCAATTCGTCAATTCGAATTTGCTAACTTTACTTAATTCCAAAAATGGCATCTGCCCTAGCAAATTAATATTGCTGGGTTGTGAAATACACCGTATTTGTAAGTAAAATTCATAGTCCACTTCTCTGTGGTAAGCAACTAGTACATTATCTCCGAGCATTACACATTTAACACTAGTCTCACTGCAGCGGCATATTCCCAAGTTTGTGTTGTAGCAAATTTTTCCATAGTAATAGCTTTGTGGCACAAGTGATGTGCTTAGAACGTGTCGGTAGTGGATAATTAAGAAAATTTGGCTTAAAATATGAACGCGTTGTATGAGTATAAGTAAAAACTTATTTGATCTTATTTCGTCTTTGACTGAAAACTGCATTTCTATCAGACACTTGTTTAATTTTTCTGTGGTGTAAAATTTTCAGTTTTCCATAAGTTGTATGTTGCTTTTGATATTTCACGCTACACACTTCTATTGATACTAAATATAATCCAATGTTTCTAAAGTACGGTGTGGCTTCAAAGTAGAAAGTCGTGTAAGTGAAAACGTCTGTGTTCCGTTACAAAAATATGCCATTTAACCCTACTAGAGTGATAAGCAAACTTACAACCACAAACATTGATAAATGAAAGACTTACATAGAACAAGAACAGAATGAATGAAGCCTTCATTCCGTAATCACAATTTAATTGGAAAGAATTTCGATGTCATTTAGCGAAAATTGCAAAACATCAAGTGCCAATACACTGTTAATATAAAAAAAAAAACAAAGAACACGATTCAAATAATCAAAATACTGTGTAACTTGCATTAATACATGCACATACTTGAATCAGCGCTGTACTAAACAAATCACCTAACATCTCTAAAGGGGTAATTGATTGATATAATTTGCGCGAAATAGGCGAATTAGTAGCGGCTTTTTCACACAATTCAGCAGTTTTGCTAAAATGGTTGTCAGCACAAGAGGCCTGACATGAATCCACTCTAAAAATACTACAAGTGACAGAAGCACGCACCTCGCGGGAGGACGATACATTCATTGAATTAAGCTGGAAGTCGTCAACGTGTACATACAATCCACTACAAAGTGTCCAGCTGAATGCCGCCAAATCAAATGCGCTACTATCAGGCGGTAACCGCGTAGTGCTAGGAGACTTCAACGCGCACAACGAACTCAGCCATTGCAATCTGGGCAATGATTAGCCGAGTATCTCGCCAAATATTACCACAGCTAGCAGGGGGACTGATAAATTGCATTAAACAGAAACTGGAAGTGCATACGTTGGAATCAGACCATGTGCCATAGCAATCATTTCTGACGAACCCTACAACAAAGCTCGGAAGATTGACTGCAACGGTTTTTTGGAATACACCGACCGCAAGTTCAATACTCTTCCACTAACATTATGCGTGCGCGTAGCTGAGCGTAATATCCATAGGATCATAACCGCAGCAGCCGCCTGCTTCATACCAGCCAGCAGATTCCCCAAGACCAAGGATGAGCACCTTCAGACCTGCAACCTCTACAGTGAAGCAAGCAAACTGCAGACAATAGCTAAGTCTCTCTACTGTCAAAGCGGTTTGGACCAGACTAAATTGCCTTGCGGATACTGTAAGAACTAGGACCTGCTGGAGTGGAGTACATCATCGCCTCTTTAAAATTGTCTCTGTCCACCTTGATCATCTCCGAGTTGTGGAAAACAGGTAGGAGCATTTATTCCCCATGACATCTTTTCCGCAAAATACTACCGTAAAAAAATAATAAAAATTAAATAAACATAAGAAAAATAGCCAAAACTGGGTAAAATATTTCATCACTATATATATTTTCACCACCGTAAGTATTAATTGATACGATAACTATATCAAATTCTTGTTTTTTTTTTTATTTTTTAGGACTTTTCGGAACGTTCAGGACTTTAACTGGCTTCTTTCGAGACTGTTAGGAATTTTTTGGAAAATTATCTAGATTTTTGACGAAATTTTAGATGCAGAATTACATTTATTGGTTAACTTTGATTTTTGTGATACTTTCCACTAAAAAAATCTTTTTTTTTTCTTTTTGTTATAAAATACATTCTATGCTTTTTTATGATTGATAGAAACAACCGGGTCCGTATCGAGGGGAGCTTATTTGGCATTAACTAGTCCCAGCTAAGTCCTTACGGAAACGGAAAGTATGTATATTCCTTTGCAGCTATCCTGGACTAGAGCATTTCCTGCAGGGATTGCACTGGCGGACGGTCGACGCACTCAACTCTCACAACACGAAGCAGTCGAAAAGAAAACTATCTACATACCTACATATGTATGTACATATCGTCGTTTAAAGTACAAAACCGCGCAACGGCATTCCGCAAAATCGCGCAACTGACATTTGCTGTCGAAAATTGGATTTGCTCACACAAGCTCTTGGCTCAATCCTTATCCATTCGTCCTGAAATATACTAGCCAGAAATGGGATTGCTTTATAAAAAATAGAACCATTTTGAAATAGGAGTGTTTTTACTCTCTAGAAAATAATTTATGCAAACTCACATACGCGGTTTTGAACTTTAAACGAAGATATGCACATATAAACATTTTAGTGGGCTTAAGACGCTTGCAAGAATCCATTTGCAATGTCAATGTAGTAGCCGTAATAAAAGTCACTTACTTTGAGTCATATTAATTTATGCAGAGAAGACAAAGAACTGGATGGAGAGCAGGGATGCCAACTGGGGCAGAATACCGCGATTTTGGTGAAGGCAAATCACTACGTTTAGGTTATATTAATTCAATTAAGATTGTATCAACACTAATATGTATTTATGTTTATTTTTTTTTACTAAGGAAGAGAATCAAGTGCCTTAAATAATGAAAAGAAATCATTGGCGGAACACCGTTAAAAAGGAGGGGAATTTTTTTCAGAAATTTGGCGAATTGGCTTTGACAAAGTTGGCATCGCTGATGAAGAACCAACAACTGCATTGCAGAAAACTTATCAGCACTGTTGCAAACGGAGAAGCACCGAAAATGACAGAAATGCCAATAATGAGCGGTGCTTAAAGGACAGGAAAAGTTTTGCATTTAAGTTTTTTTGTAATGACTTTTTTAATGCTTACAGCCACTTCGGAGGGAAATGAAGACTCGCCTTGAAGCGAAAGAAAATGTTATTTAAAAGTGTAATAAGTGAAAATGCTGCTTGTGTACGTACATAAATAAAACATTGCGAGTTCGTAACAAGGATTCGTTCAAAATGCAAAATAAGCAAATTTGTAGCGGAAAAATAGCAGTTAAGGTAAGAAAAACGAAACTGTAGTTTTTCAGTTTATATACTTATGAACGCATTGCTTGTCAATTGTTCCTTAAAATGGGTCCATTCAAAGTACAAGAATTTGTATGTGTTTCAAACGAATGTTTTGTCATGGGTAAAACTAGTCACAATTCAAAAGATGCCATGAGAAATTTTTATTTAATTAGTTAGTCTTTGGAATCTTAGATACACACATCTCTCACTGCTTCTGCTATTAATTTAAAAAAAAAATATATATTTTCAGCCTGATTTCTTACTTTTCAAAGTTGTAAGAATGCACGTGAAAAAAGTAGAGTTCGAAATTTAATTCTCCTCCCCATAGGATTGTTATGCCTATATAGAAAAAAAAACATACCCCTGTTTCGAAATCAAATAATATGTAGAAGTCGTTCAAAGTTTTTTCATGTACTTTATATCGAGACAAAACCATTTTTCATAGAAATGGTAAAGAATTCTTGAAAATTAATATTTTAAAATCGGCAACTATGTTTCTTCAGGATACTTCCAATAATAATACCCAGTTGTTTATTTTATGGGTCCCCCATTGAGTGCTTTGAGCGACCTCCAAATATTTTTTGATTTCAAAATAAAAAGGAGGAACATATTTTTTCGTATAGAACAATCCTGGGGGTGAGAGATCGATAGTTGATGATAGTTTTTTGTTGGGTCGCTATCGATTGTGCCGATAGTAATTTTTTTCCGATAGTGCGCTGCCATCGATAGTCTCGATAGTGCGCTGCACATTTATTTTTTGGACCACCATAATATGCATCCCATGTGCACCTATCCTTTAATCTAAATCGATCGTTTAAAACGCCCTGTAAATACACTTAGGCTATTAGCAAACACCCATTAGGTCGCGGTGCAGGTACAACAATGAAAACTAGTTTTGTGTAACAACAACAAAGGAATGACAAAAATATATAGGCAAATGTTTAGCCGACGAAAAGCTGTACAACATGGAGTAGATTACCACAGCCACGACAACGGTAATCAATGCTCATGTGAGTATGTATACAAACACTGGTAACACTTTTCGAGAACACATGACCAGTTAAGCCAAGAATGATAGAGTATTCTTTCAATCGTGCAGTTAAGCAATAGCTTGTACATACGTACTTGGATATACATATACATATGTACATACATTAGCGTGGGTCTAAAATCCGCTTTTTTAGAATTTTGATTGGTAATTGCAAAAATAAGGTTCATTATGCTCTAAAAACAATCTGTGCGAAAGATGACAATGTTTGGTCAATATCTTAGGCTCGCCCAAGTCCATCACAGTTGAATGTGCTCTTCGAAAGTATTGGTCCTACATAATTTGGTATATGGACCTTTTTTGTAGACAATCGAAGTAAGCTAAGAAACATTTTTTAATAGCACTTGAACTTTGTTGGGCTTGGGCAAGCTTAAGATATTGACCAAACATTGTCATCTTTCGCACAGATTGTTTTTAGAGCATAATGAACCATATTTTTGCTATTACCAATCAAAATTCTAAAAAAGCGGATTTTAGACCCACGCTAATGTATGTACATATGTATATGTATATCCAAGTACGTATGTACAAGCTATTGCTTAACTGCACGATTGAAAGAATACTCTATCATTCTTGGCTTAACTGGTCATGTGTTCTCGAAAAGTGTTACCAGTGTTTGTATACATACTCACATGAGCATTGATTACCGTTGTCGTGGCTGTGGTAATCTACTCCATGTTGTACAGCTTTTCGTCGGCTAAACATTTGCCTATATATTTTTGTCATTCCTTTGTTGTTGTTACACAAAACTAGTTTTCATTGTTGTACCTGCACCGCGACCTAATGGGTGTTTGCTAATAGCCTAAGTGTATTTACAGGGCGTTTTAAACGATCGATTTAGATTAAAGGATAGGTGCACATGGGATGCATATTATGGTGGTCCAAAAAATAAATGTGCAGCGCACTATCGAGACTATCGATGGCAGCGCACTATCGGAAAAAAATTACTATCGGCACAATCGATAGCGACCCAACAAAAAACTATCATCAACTATCGATCTCTCACCCCCAGGATTGTTCTATACGAAAAAATATGTT